CTTTTGGTGATTTGCGCTGGTTCTCGAGCTGATTGAGTGCTGCATTGAAGAAGTCGGCTCCCCTTGCGGCTAGTGGAACAGTACTGCTGTGAGTTCTGGCAACGGGTTCGCGTCCGCAGATGCCTCCCTTGCGCTGGGCTTCACAGAGAAATTTCCTCTTGTCCGCAGAAGACGAGAGCGAAAGCAGTTGCAGGCAGCTTTACAGCCCTCAGCTCTCGGCCCTTAGCGGCTGGCTCCTGTCCTCGCCAGAGCGGTTGTGCGCACAGCCTTCGCCTGGTGACTCTTGAAGACAGATGGCCCTGCCGCTTGCCCAGCCACGAGGACGGTGCTGTTCAGGGCCCGATTCCGCACCATCTTGTTACTGGCATCCATAACCTGCTCCCTCTGCCCCTCAAGCACCAATCCCAGCAACGGGCCCGATGGCACTTGTGGATCAGTAGGATTCCGTTCACTTTACTAAGGCATCGGCACACTGCGGGAAGCTCCGGCCTTTTGGGGCTCATGGCTTCGACCTGGCGAAGGCTTCGGATAGCAAGCTGCGAATTTCTCACGAATGACATCAGAGCTCTGACTCAGCCTCTAGCTCCTTCCGAACCTTCTGCCGATGCTGCGTTGGTGACACGGTGATACACTGTCCCCTGGATCTTAAGCTGCGGGTGCCTGGTGTCCAGCTGAGGCAGGGCAGTGCACATGTCGGGAGCGCGCGGAGGCTGCCTTTGGCGTGCTGCCTTTTAGAGCTTCTGTCTAGCGAACGTACATGGGTCAGCAGCCGGGCCCGATGGCCCTTCCATCACAAAGCAATTCTTGTCTCAGAATGCAGAAAGACGCAGCTGGTTGTGACGCTTACCTTGCCCGAAAGCCGGCGCTCACATGTCGGCCTGTGGCGGTGCTTGCTTGGTTGCTGCGACCTAGCTACAAGGTCTTCCGACTGCATGCCCTGGCTGCTTTCCTTCTGCCCATTACCCATCATATCAGCGCTGGCGCCAGGAGCTGTAGCTGGAGGTCGCGCAGGGCTTCAACTGGCTTGTTTTACCTCTTGCAGCTTGGTTCTTTAAGCCCGCGAGCTTGCACCGACCGATGTGCCAGTGACTTGCCAGACTTGCCAGGTGCAGCATGATACTCCAGCATCAGCAGCATGTAATGCTCGAGGTGGATGCTGCGTGATGCTGCTGTCCCGCATGCCTCTCTGCAGCAGCCGCAAGCCAGCTGGCCTGAGAACCTTGCCATGCAGGTTGTAACTCTTCCTGTCCTGCCATAACATGATGTTCAAGCTAAGTCTTTGATAGCAAGAGCAACGCTGGCAGGAGCTTAGCAGGTCAGCAGAGCTGCCAGAACGCGGGCACGAAGCTGGGCTTGTTGCGCCAGGTTGCCCTGGCGCACACCACCGATCTGGAGCTTGTGCATGTAAAGCAGAAGAAAGGCCGCGATGTCTACAACTTGCATCACGTCCTTTGTTCAAAGTGTTTGCAGCATTCACCAGCAGGCTTTGAAAGCAGCAGGCAGGTCGTATTCGGCCAGGCGAAATCGAAAATAAAGGTCTTTGCTTTGATTCTGCATGATGGTCTGAATATGGCTATGCGCTGCACCTTCAGACCATTTGATGTGAACCTCTTCAGCTTCAGCAACGGACGTTTGATGCCATCGCTTTCCCCAGAAAGCAGGCTGCCCAGCCCCATGTCACTCGCCTCAACAGACGAAGATCTCCAGCTCGTTGATGTTAGAGAGCCTTGCCGCACGCATTTCCGCATGCATTTTGAATCAGGAAGGTCAGAGGTAGTCATTCGCTCCCACCGCTGGCAGTGGCCTGCCGCAGCTTCGCGCTCGTTGGAGCAGCAGGTTCTGGTGCTGGTTCTACCATGGCTGCTGTGCGGCAGGCGGTGCAGCTGCAACGCAAAGGGAGTTGACAGCCGCAAAGGGCACCTCACCACCTTAAGTCCCATGACCTGAAGAGAGTGGTCATGTACCATGCTGGTGGCAGGTGGGACTGCTGGTAGGCTAAAAGTGCTAACGCCGCAAAGCTGCTTCCTGTGTCTTCCCAACCTGAGCTGAACCCGCGAAGAGCGCGCCTGTCCTCCTAGCCTGCTGCTCAAGCAGCATTTGCAGCCATTGCCAGGCGCACAGCTGCTCTCTTTTCCTGCTTTCGAGCCGACGACTGCTAGCAGAACGCTTCTACGTACATTGCGACCTTCGCCGCACTCTACGCCTGTAGCAGGACTTCGACACGGCTCACAGCATGCATGGGAGCAGGTGAGAGGTTCGAGGATGGGCTAGGGTCCAGGGACCCATGTCGAGCAAGGGACGATGTGGGACGATGATGTTGGATGGCATGGCCGACATGCCTGCTGCGACGTCCAGATTTCCCGATGTCTGAATGCACCGGACAGTGATGCTCGGCAGAGACTCGGTGCTGCCCATGCCTCTGTCATGGGAACACGACCAAATGCCTAGTTGGCCGGCTGGCAAAATTGCATGAACGGCCTCAGTCGCAAAAAGCTGTAGCACGAGCAGACTAATATGAGCAGAGCACAACCACACTCTTGCGTGCGTGTAGTTGCTTGCTTCTAGACGGCATTTTCCACAGTTTTGTTTTTGTCCAGCCGGCCATAGGATTTGCGCAGCCTTGTGTCTTCCCGCGCGTCTTCCCGCAGATTGGCCATTGACTTTCGTGGCAACAGTCCCAGCTGACAGCGACGTGTCGCTGCTCCAAGTAGCATCAGTCAGGCTTCAGGATGACAAGCTCACCGCCTGCACGTTGAGACTTCAGAGATTTGAGGCAAGCTTTGCGAGCTTTGGCTCAAAGCTTCTCATGAACAGCTTACTCGTCAGGTCGGGTCTGTTGGCCCTGCCATCGATATTGGGCCACGGTGTGGTGAGATTGGACTGAACACCGCAAGCGGGGCAGCTTGCCTTCTGGCTGTGTCCGCTGGCCCTGTGGCAGGAGCGACTTATCTCAGAAAGCCCAATGCGTGCGCTTAGTCAGCTGCTCCTGCCATACTCTTAGTGGCTTCGGCCACAGCTTCTCTCTAATTGATGCCTCGCTTGTGGCTGGCCTCAAAGTTCAGGTGCCATGCCAAAGACGATGGGAGCAGATGCATTTTCCATTGGTACTCTATCGCTCGCAGAAAGAGGAGCAGCCGCAGTTTCCACTACCCTGCGGTACACTGCCATTGCCTTCCTGGTATCCCCCTGATTTTCAACAGAACTATCTCAACTACACAGATTACCCCAGCATGGGCCATGCCGTTTTCACAGCCGGCCCTCGGTCGTCTGCAGAGGTAGCGGCTGGCCCCTGTCCTCGCCAGAGCGGTTGTGCGCACAGCCTTCGCCTGGTGACTCTTGAAGACAGATGGCCCTGCCGCTTGCCCAGCCACGAGGACGGTGCTGTTCAGGGCCCGATTCCGCACCATCTTGTTGCAGTTTCTAATGGCATCCATAACCTGCTCCCTCTGCCCCTCAAGCACCAATCCCAGCAACGGGCCCGATGGCACTTGTGGATCAGTAGGATTCCGTTCACTTTACTAAGGCATCGGCACTCTGCGGGAAGCTCCGGCCTTTTGGGGCTCATGGCTTCGACCTGGCGAAGGCTTCGGATAGCAAGCTGCGAATTTCTCACGAATGACATCAGAGCTCTGACTCAGCCTCTAGCTCCTTCCGAACCTTCTGCCGATGCTGCGTTGGTGACACGGTGATACACTGTCGCCTGGATCTTAAGCTGCGGGTGCCTGGTGTCCAGCTGAGGCAGGGCAGTGCACATGTCGGGAGCGCGCGGAGGCTGCGTTTGGCGTGCTGCCTTTTAGAGCTTCTGTCTGGCGAACGTACATGGGTCAGCAGCCGTGCCCCATGGCCCTTCCATCACAAAGCAATTCTTGTCTCAGAATGCAGAAAGACGCAGCTGGTTGTGACACTTACCTTGCTCGAAAGCCGGCGCTCACATGTCGGCCTGTGGCGGTGCTTGCTTGGTTGCTGCGACCTAGCTACAAGGTCTTCCGACTGCATGCCCTGGCTGCTTCCCTTCTGCCCATTACCCATCATATCAGCGCTGGCGCCAGGAGCTGTAGCTGGAGGTCGCGCAGGGCTTCAACTGGCCTGTTTTCCCTCTTGCAGCTTGGTTCGTTAAGCCCGCGAGCTTGCACCGACCGATGTGCCAGTGGCTTGCCAGACTTGCCAGGCGCAGCATGATACTCCAGCATCAGCAGCATGTAATGCTCGAGGTGGATGCTGCGTGATGCTGCTGTCCCGCATGCCTCTCTGCAGCAGCTGCAAGCCAGCTGGCCTGAGAACCTTGCCATGCAGGTTTGCCGACAAGCCGTTTGCACCTTGAGAAATTTGCTTTGTGTTTTGGACTCCGCATCCCCTCCTCAAAGCGCAGAATGTTCTTACTCAGCGGCACAGGCCCAAGCAAAGCTGTGTACCGTATGCCGTGTCCATCACAGGGAATTGCCGAGACAGGAACCACTTCTGTGACAAGTGGAAGCTCCTAGGCCTCTACGATCTTCGGCCTTGCCTACGCGCAGTCGGCATGAAGCCAGCCGGGTAATTTCGGGGGCTTTTGTGCGCTGCCGACGGACCCAACCAGCAGCCACGGCGCCGAAAAAGAGCTACATACCAAGCACGCGCTTCAAAAGAATAGGTACAAGCTAAAAGAAATGGGAGCACGAATAATTTCTTGCATGCGTTGAACACCTCTGGCCATCCATATTTTCCAGAACTGAGAACATTGCAACCTCATGATTTTCATGCTGAACTCAAGTGTTGCAATTACCACAATCCTGCTTAAGAAGGCTATTCATGTTGTGCTGTCTGAGATGCGCGGCTGAGCAACTTAACATGTGATGCTGCACCCGGCCACCTGCAAAGGTCAGCAAGCCGTTTCTTCAAAAAGCGAGGTACCTTCATCGAAACACATCAAAAACACTAGTAGCCCTCAACTTCGAAATCCTGGCCACAAGCTCTAAACTCAAAACCCAGGAGTCCAGTCTGAGAGCTCTGAAGCCATCCAGGTGGACCTCAGGTTATACCTCGCGCTGGTCATGATAAGAACTGGAGCCGGTACAGGCGGTCTGTGCTCTTTGCAATGGTACAGTGCCGTAATTCCTCAGATAGATATCCCCGCTTTATCGTTAGATGCACACAAGGCGCATTTGCTCCTAGTATAGCTTTGACAGGACCTTGTTTGGGACCCTACCTGTTCTAAATCCATTGATGCGCTGCGCAGCCTGAAGGCGGTTCCTTGCCGGCGCCGCAGCGAAAACGGCCTGGGCCTTTTTCCTGAAATAGGAATAACAATAATAGTAGTAACAATAGTAATAATATTAAGAATAGTAATATTAATCCTAGTAATAAGAAAAAAAAACAGTGATTTTAGATGACCATCCAGTGTGGCGTTGCATGCAGCAGTCCAAAGACCAAGCTTGCCTCAAACATGCCTTAGTCGGCCTCAGCCCTTTTGCCCTAAGGGTCCAAGGACCCAAATATTGGGGCTTTAGGACCCAAATATTAGGCTTTAGGTCCCAAATAGGGCTTTAGGGCCCAAGTACCAGTCAGATTAGACCCTTAGGGTTGGGCTCAAAGTGGAGGCCCTTGGTTTGTTGAGCGCTTCGGAGCCTTAAAGGGAACGCCCAGCACTGAATACTTGAAAATAGACAGTAATAGTAAGCTTTAAGCACAAACAGAATTTGGGAGCGGGTCAGAAGCCTCTGTCTAATTAGTTCCTGAAATAAGGAGAGCAGCAGGTAAACACCAGCAACTGCGATATTCTTTATACTTGCACTCCCACAGGTCCTTCGCTCAGTTTGGGAAACTTCCTATTAGATTGAATCCTCTAGTCTAAGCAGAACAGAAGCCAGTCGAGGCGGAAGTGCGTGCGCCTAAGGTGCAAGACGTCCAGGACACTGCACGTGCCTCCCAAGCATGTAACCTTTCCAAACATGATAGGCAAGTAGGGTCCCCATATATGGAGTGCGCACGTTTGCAGTGTAATTATTTTCAGGGCACTCTAACTTGTTGCCACATGTAGAGCTTGTTGTGGGTGGCTCGTAGGAAGCCCAGGTAGGCAGACGCAAGCTTTAAGGCATTCAAGACACACCCTCACGATCACGCCTTGCTGTCAACCTGCAGGAGAGCAGTCAGCATCCGGGAGGGACGTTGAGCCAGCTCCTAAGTTACAGGTGTAGGAATGGCTCCACTGTCCCCTGTAGGGGTATGGACAACAACGGGTTTTATATGGGGCTGATATGACTTCGTTGTCTTCACAACAACCCAAATAGTTGGACGTGTCACAATGCCCCTGTGATGCTTGCCAAGCCTGCTCCGAGGCCATGCTCCAAAGAGGGCTAGGATGGAAACACCAGCCACGGCCCCAGAAGAACTTCCGGTCTGTGTAGGGATGGAAAATCAAGCAGAAACGTGCACTTGGGCATCTTCACCCTGGAACAAGAGCCGGAGCTCAGACCTTCATAGCGAGGGCAACCCGAGAGCAACCATGTGGGATGTTGGGTCTGTTTGCCATCTTCTTTTGAGACACTTAGGCAACAAGAGCGCGCTTAGCTGCAATATTGTCGTTTTTGAGTGATCAAGGTTGTTTCTGCCTCTATTTCCTAAAGCAGGAGCAGCGGCAGTACAAGTACCTTTGGCTGCAGGCGCCAGTGCCCGCCTAGCGCTGCACAGCCAGCAGGCTCAACTTGGGTTATCAGCTTGGGGGTTTGTTCAGGGTATGTGAGGTTCAGGGTTCAGATGCTGGGATCAAGGCTGAGGGGTGTTTGGCCTTTTGGTGCGCTCAAAACTGTGAAAGGGCCCTTTTCTGGGCCCATGCGGCAAAGGCCGGGCTGTGGTGTTTTTAGATTCAGGTCAGGGACCCCAGGCCAGGAGCAAGTCTCAAATGGGTGGATCCTAAAACTGCAGAGCCTGGCAAATGGGAGTTGGCGGCTTTCCCGTACACACCCTCAAGGCGCGGTTCATCGCTGCCGAGGCACCAAGACTCTCCTGTGAGCGCCAATTAGCAAGGTGAAGTTTGAAGGTTTGCACTTGCCCCCAACGTCTTGAGCTTTTCTGATGAGTCTCTCATCTCCAACTTGGCACATCCGCCCTGGAAAGAGATGGCGGGCTCGACAAGAATGAGTCATGATACAGTCTAGATTTCCGTGCTTGAGCTTCGTTGTTCGGATCGAATCCCTGTGGAGCCTTTGGACCTGAGACCCGTAAATCGAGTATACAAGGAACACCCCAAACTGAGCAAGCTCCTCGCATGGCTCCATTGGGATACCTAAAGCCCCAAACAACGTATTAGTTTCAATCTTCTTGTGCATTTCACTTTGAGTTCCATCATTCATTCCGTGGGTTACCAAATTGTCCTTAGGGCCCTTTTATCCCCAAATCAATTAGCGGGGGGTTTACAAGCGGAAGTTGCTCTTGTACAGGCTAGGCAGCTAGGCCGCAAGCCTATAAGGTAAAAGAATGCTTTACAGGCCTGTTCAAACTTGAGATCCCAAACTCAAAGCTTCTGCAGATTGGGACTATAGTATATTGGGATTATAAAGGGATAATGGAAAAGAAAATGGAAACTACTATAGTATATTGGGATTATGAATTTAGGCCTTCTATTGTGCTGCCAGGAGCTCTGAGGTCGCCACCTTGCAGCCCTCCATGCAGTCTGAGGCAATGTCAGATGAGTACATATTGAGGGCACATCGAATATAGGTGTGCATACATACATCCTGTTGCCCTTAAGCTGCCCCCGAGAAGCAAGCTGAATATGAGCTCATCAACTGCGGGAATGCCTTGGACCTAGGCGGAGCTTCCGGGGCCTTCCGACGCAGCAATAGTTGAATTGGTGAAGGTCACAGGAAAACTGTTGCGCCACACAACACAGGCTCAGAAAACTGGGTGCTGAGCCAACATGGCCATCATGGTAGCGGGTCGTAACTTCCGCATGTTGGACTGCCACGGAGTTTCCGCAAATACCAGAGTTTGGACGGTGGTTGAATCTTGACACCCTAGCAGGAGATACAGCTTCAGATATCCTTTGTAGATCTTTGTAGGGTTATAAGCAGTGTTTGAACGCAGCAACAACAACTTCAGTGGGCGCCAAGCTCCAAAAAGTTCCGAGAATCGCCCCGGGTTTCACCTTGAGGCCTCACCCAGGCATCTGCCCAAGCGGCCATGGTACTGTCAGCAGTCCCATGCGATTCCAGTCCATGTGCCTTTATTAGTATTGTATGTGATAGTAAGTTGGGTGCTTCCATTTTCTTTTCCATTATCGCTATATTATCCCAATTTACTATAGTAGTTTCCATTTTATTGTCCATTGTCCTTTTATCATCCCAATATACTATAGTGGTTTCCATTTTCTTTTCCATTATCCCAATATAGCCCCATACATTATCCCGATATATGAGTCATAGTCTAAACTCCTTAAAGGGGGATTATATAAGGGATCGCCCTAAACCCTAAACCGTAGGAGTTTAGACTATAGCTCATATGGGTCCTGGGAGAGGCATCTTGAGAGCCCGTCCATCATGACAAGCTCACGCATGGCATGATGACCAAATGCCGGGTCTGCCGTGGATTTCGGAATGGAGAGGGGCTATATAGGGATAATGGAAAAGAAAATGGACACTACTATAGTATATTGGGATTATATAGGGATAATGGAAAAGAAAATGGAAACTACTACAGTATATTGGGATTATGGGATGATGGAAAAGAAAGTGGAAACTACTATAGTATATTGGGATTATATGGGGATAGTGGAAAGGAAAGTGGAAACTACTATGCCTTGGCTTGCGCGATCCTTTTTTTTGCAGGCATGTAGGCGGCCCAGGCTTTCGCAAATCATTGGGTGGGTGGGTTTTCAGGGTTGCCACTTGTGCAAGGGTTCCAACGATAGTGTCTCTGCGTGGGTCAGTATGGAATGAGCCCTTAGCCACCGACCTCCAGCATGAATTGAACACAGGGATGTTGAGCAGGGTGGGTCTGCGCCATTGTTGTGGTGGTAGTTGTTGCCGATGATGCTGCGGTGATGACGATGATGGTGATGATGATGGTGATGATGATGATGCTGACGATGACGATGATCTTGATGACGATGACGATGATCTTGATGACGATGATGATGATCTTGATGACGATGAGGATGATCTTGATGACGATGATGATGATGATGATGATGATGATGATGATGATGATGATGATTGGGTTCATGCGGCAACCATGGCGCTCCTACAAAGACACGATGGTGAACAATGGCTTCGGTTGCTAACAAGCAGGCAAGCTAAGCAGATGGCTTGTACGAGTGGATACGCCCCAGACGAGTACAATGCTGATTGGATTCTCCCGCGCAGAAATCTACTGTCAGATAGAGGGTCATGACTACCTGTAACCTGGAAGTGGAAGGCCTTTCAGGTTCGTCACTGCTTCCAAAGCCTTAGTAGGCTAGCGCTGCACCAGCTCAAGAGGTGGCTTGATGTGCCGGGATTTGAAGCGTTGTCAATTGCTTGCGCTCCATCCACCTTCTTGGCTCTGAAGCTGGAAAACAGAGACCTCGGCTGGCCCCTCGTCGATGGCTGAGCTTGCCGAATGGACGGTTGCAGCATAATCTACTTGAGCGCTCCCACAGCCCAAGAACAGAGAGATCCCGAAGCACGTACATCAAAAGTTTCCTTGACACTGGGATATGCCAAGACTCTAAGCTGCAATTGCAGCGCGGCCTTGCTTCACTCATGATGCTGCTCATGCGGCATGATCCCAGAATCTTAGGTCACTAGCGGGGCCTCCAAGGTTGCAATGAGTGCGTCGGCGTCTCAGTTTCCTTTCAGCCTGGATGAGGGGCTTCAACAGTCGCAGGATTCGCAAGTTTTGCATAGGGTTGCAAAGGGCAGCATTCTAAAGAAGGGATGTGGCCTGTCCTGAACCACGCCGAAAACAGCAGACGACTATTTCAATAGCAGTAGCCCACAGCAAGGTCACTCCGGAAACATAGGAGCGAGGGAGATCCTTCTTGAGAACGCTATCAGGAGCTCGGACACCTGAGTCCATCGCACAAAAATCCATTTTGGTCAGTGCCACGATGTTGGGGACCAAAACTGCTTTGCAGCTTGGGGTGGGCAGTAGTGACTCTGAACAAGGTCGCAGTTCTGACAACGTTTCCACAGAAGCCATCAATCAAAGCCAGACGTCAGCTGAGCTGAACCCCAGACCGCCGCCGCCGCCTGCTGGGTCCTCCTCGGACGCAGGAGGCTGGAGAGTGAGGCTGAAGTTTGTAACATGTTGTGGGGATTGATCTTTTTATTTGCAGGACACTTCAAGGAGAAGTTGATTTCTGCACCGGCTCTTTGGGGTGACAAGTATGTTGATGACTTGTCATACCCTTAACGTGCCCACGAAAAATCGCATATAGCCGGAATTCTGCAATGTTCAGCTTCCTTCAGGACCAGGGGCTCAAAATCCCATACTTTAGGCTTGGGCTTGGCCGTCGAGCTTAGTGATTGGCAAAGATTGTTGCTGGCAGAAATCTCACGCATGAATCCATGTAGGCCTTGCGAAGCTCAACCATGGTGCTCCTTCAGGGGGCATGGTGAGGTAATGCATCATAGACCCTTTAAGAGTTTGTTTTGAGGCTATTTCCCTTTAATTTTGGGTAGCTTCCAAAAACTGGGGAACTAAAGGACACCAAGTAAATTTGGTAATTTTGATGTTGTTGTCTTGTTGTTATTTTCTCTTGTGTTTTTTTTGGGAAGTCGATGCTATGTTCAAAAATTAGAAAATTGTTAGCAATCATGAAGAATCGTGACAGATTGAAAAATAATGAACAACTTAATTGAAAAATGATGAAAACATAATGTCAAACATGAACAATCATGAAACATTGAAAAAATCATGAATAATCATGAAACATTGAAGAAATCATGAATAATCATGAAACATTTTAAAGATCATTTATAATCATGAAACATGGTGAAAAATCATGAACAATCATGAAACATGATCATGAACAATCATGGAACATGGTGAACAAAGATGAAAAGTATGGCAATCATGGAAACTGCTGAAAGATGATCGAAAATGATGCAACATGATGTATATGATGAAGAATTGTGAAAAAGATCAAAAGCATCAAAAATGAAGAACAATGATGAACATCATGGAAAAGCAGGAAATGGTTTACAATGACGAACAATGGTCAAGCATGGACGGCCTTGCAAAAAGGCGGGGGGGTTGGGGGGCGCAGCCCCTCGCATTTGCAAACAACATGATTCGTGTAGCCATCCCTCATGGTGATGACACGACACTTCTTTGACACGACAAGCGCAGAGGCAAGCGCAGATGGCTTTCAAAAGGGGGTGGGGGCGAGGCGCAGCTCCTCCCATGCGCAAACAAAATGATCTGTACAAGCATTTCTCACTGCAAACATGATGATGACATGGTGCTCCTGTGTTACACGGATGGCCTTAAAAAGGGCGTGGGGGTTGGGGGGCAGCACCCCCACCTTGCAAACAACAAGGAAAATGTGATGAAAGATGATGGAAACCATTGAAAGACTATGACAACCGATGAAGAGCATGGACGAATATGAGTAAGGATGGAGAGTTGTCAAACCATATGAAATTCATGAACAGTCATGAAAGTTATTTAAAAATGATAAAAGACATGGCAACTGCTG